AGGCTGACGTTTCGGGCCTAGACCCTTCATCAGAAAAGATGAAGGGTCTAGGCCCGAAACGTCAGCCTTCCTGCTCCTATGATGCTGCTTGGCTTGCTGTGTTCATCCAGCTCTACACCGTGTTGCCAGGATTTTGGTGTCCCTTCTGTTTAGGTGCAACCAGTCCTTCTTGTACAGGTATTCCACCTGTCCTGGAAGAGATCCCAATGATCCAGATACTTGCATCCCTATATCCTACACCAGCTCTTTAGCCACCCATTCAATTGTATTAGTTCCCTATTTCTGTGCTCACTCATTTGTGCCACAGGGAGTAATCCTGAGGTTACAACCCTAGAGGTCCTGCTTTCAACCTTCTACTTAACTCCCTAAATCACTTTACAGGACCTCTTTCTTCTTTCTTCCTATGTCATAAGTATCAGTATGGACAATGACATCTGGCTGCTCACCCGCTCCCGTTCAGACACCTTTGACCCTGGCACCAGGAGGCAACACACCATCCTGGTGACTTGATCATGGCCACACAAGCATCTATCTGTATCCCTGACTATAGAGTCCCCTATTAGTAATGCTCACCTCCTGCTATATAATGTCATGGTGCCACTGATCAACTACTGCTGCTTTCCCTTGAGAGGCCACTCCCCTCCCCAACAGTATCCAACATGGAATGTCAATGTGAGAGGGGACCTCGTCTTCCTGGTGGTCACCCAACTCATCTCTGTCTGTGTAGCCCTAACTGGTGGTGTGACCAGCTCAAAAAACATGCTATCCATGGTATTCTCAGCCTCGGATACTCCACAGTGAGTTCATCCGTTGTTCCAGATGCAAAATGCAGCAATGATGTAGATCATCTAGTCGGCTTGCCAGAAAAGTAGAAAATGGAATTCATTCTGGATAAGTGTGAAGTAATATGTTTTAAGAGATACAATGAGGTGAGGGAAAGTTCAACACATGGGAGAATACCAAATTATGTGTGTTTAAGAGGGACTGTAGTGATTATAACAAGGTCAGCCAGGTGGACCTCATAGAATATGAGTTCCCTGATTGGGGCTGTTAACCTGGTTTAGTCAGGGATCCCTGGCTGACAGATAAGAGCAGGAATGTCAGACATCTTGGTTACTGTGAGAGCTGGCTCTGAGGGAGCTGGATCAGTGTCAAGGACTCTCCGCGTGTAAATAAAAAGTGACTTTGTGAGGGGATAGCAGCCTCTGTGGAGTTATTTCAAAAATCGTTGTTTAAATTCTTCCCTCTCCTTCACCACTTGATTTTCAAGTGTCTTTGGGAAATCTTTTGAAAACAGAAAATTTGTTCAATGTCTCTGCCATTTCCTTATTTTGCATAACCACAGCCCCAGAATCCCTCTAGAGGACCAGCACTAGCTTTACTTACTCTTTCCAGATTTCAATACTTATGAATACTCTTACCATCTAACTAATTTTCTTTTGTCTTCTATATCCTTCTTATTTTTAGTTATTTTTCACTGGTTCATTAAATCAGATCATTCTTCTGACCCACCACTATTTTAGAATCATAGTATTTCTTTCAGGTTGATATTGTTCTTTACTTTCTTTTTTAGCCACAAATCCTTTTCTGTTTGGGTTAAATCACTGTTGAGAGTTATTAAATATCTCTGTAAAAGTCTGCCACTGCATCTCTGATGCCTTACCTTTTCTAATCCAGTTTTTCAATTCACTTTAGTTAGCTCTACCTTCATACCCCTGTAGTTAACTTTATTCAGATTTAAAATACTGGCCTTTAACCCACACTTTTCCACTTCAAATTAAACACAAAATTCTATTATGTTATGGTTGCTGTCTTCTAGACTTGTAATCATGAGGCTATTGCGTAATCATGTCTCATTGTCTAGAGGTCTAGAACAGCCTGCTCCTTGGTTGGTTCAAGAACATATCACTCAGAAATTGACTAAAATATACTCAAACTCATTTTCCACGCTATATTTGCCAATCTAGTTCACCCAAACTACATGAGGATGAAAGTCACCGATGACTTTTGTGGTGTCTTTCTTGCACACCCCAGTTATATCTTCCTGTAGACGCTGCCCCACAGTGTAACTCCTGCCAGGAGGCTTATAAATCTCTCCCATAAGTGAATTTTGGCCATCCTATTTCTTGTCTCTATCCAAACTGATTCTACATCTTGCTTTTTAATTTAGTCCCTATCTGCTCATGATCCCTGTTTCCTAGTCCTATCAGTATCACCAGGACCATCATGGGTCACAGCATCTGGATCATCCCCCTCCCACTCCAGGCTCCCCTCTGCTCAAAGAAAATATTTTTAATCCAGTTTCTGGGAAGGCAAGATGCTCTTAGCTGAGCAGTGTCTCTCTCACTGTTTCCTGTCCCTGAACTACAACTGCATTCCTTTTTACCCCCTGTACTTGAATGGCTTCCTACACCTTGGTGCTATGGTCAATTTGTTCAACTTTTCTCCAGTCTCTGCTCTTGTCCACACACACACTGCAAGGACAGAGGCTATTCCCATTCTGCCTTCTGGATCTCCATGTCTGCTTTACAGTCACACCCTCCTGCCCTGACCACACACCAAATCTGAAGTATTGAGCCAAGAGGGTAGGACTACTTCCTGGAAGAAAGTGCCTAAGTAACTTTTCACCTCATTGGCGCATCGCAATGTCTAAAACTCAGACCCTGGCTCATTAACTCAGAGCCAAAGTTCCTTGAGTTGCTGACACTCAGTATAGATGTGGTTGCTTTGGATGACATAGATGTTTACCGTCTCCTACATTCTGCACCTGCCCTACTGCCTTGATGATGTTTTATTAAACTAACTGCATTTCAAGCCCAGAAACATCACTCACCTGTCAGCAGTAGTTATTATGAACTACCCTATCTCCACTCACATCAAGTGTCTTTCCACCATCCCAATGACTATTTAATTTAATGCATCTCTCGACAGTCCTGGTCATATCACTTAGCAGGACACTGTGGGTGAATGACTGGGTTTGGGTGCACATGCTCAGCTGTGTTTTTTAGGTGCAGATATTTTTACTTGTGGGGATATGTGTGTGGGTCGGTGTGTACACTGCCTGTGCTGCCGTAGGTCAAAAAGCTTCTGTTGCCGTCCAGAATCAGGAGGCCAGGCCTGCAGTGGGGGGAATGAGGCCTGGTTTTGGGTTTTGGTCAGGGTTGGTGAGCAAAGAGTCAGACCCAGGGGAACGTGAGGCCTACTGGGGCTGGAGAGGAGTGAGACCTGACCGTGAGGGGAGTGAGGGACCAGGCCCAGGAATGAGACCAAGCCTGAGTGGGATGGAGAGTGAAGGGACAAGTCAAAGGAGAGTGAGACCGGGTCAGAGAGGAAATGAGGCTGGACCAGGGAGGGAGTACCAGTGATGGAGTGCTACAGAGGGCTAGGCCCAATGGGAAAGAATGCCATGCTTGGATGGGGGAGTCAGTGAGGGTTTAAGCCAACATAGTGACCAAATATCTATTAAGAATCTATTCTATATCTAGAAATATACAAATAAGGATCAAAAGTAGGCCACTTTGCCCTTTGAGCCTGCTCTGCCATTCAATAAGATCATGGCTGATCTGATTTTAACCTCAACTCTACATTCCTGCATATCCTTGATAACATGTTAGCACATTAGTGGTGCCGGCACCAAAGGGGGTTGGGGCGAAGTGGGGACAGAATGCTACTGGACAGTGGGTACCGAAGAGGGCAGGGGGTAATTTGGGGACAGAGTGCTGCTGGACAGTGGGTACCGAAGAGGGCAGGGGGTAATCTGGGGACAGAATGCTGCTGGACAGTGGGTACCGAAGAGGGCGGGGGTAATTTGGAGACAGAGTGCTGCTGCACAATGTGCTGTGGTTAGCAGCATTTATAAGACAGTAATTACTGAATTTTGCTTTTCTAGTTCAAAAACATGGCGGGACCCAGCTGAAGTTGACAATAACGTTGGAGGATCATGGCAAGGCTTTGTTTAAACCAATAAAGTAAGTCACCCTGATGACAGCCTTGAACAGGAGAACAGGCCCGGTTTGCCCAAACAGCCCAATCAGCCTCACAACTGGCCTGGTCCGTGCCGTTGGCCTGAGAACAGGCCTCACGTCAGTGTTAATTGGCCTGACGGCAGGTGATAACACTGATAGGCCCTGGCAAGACCCAGGTTTGACCTGATCCTGCTCAGGGTGTACCAGACAGTGCAGACATCTCTGAATAACCAGAGGACTTGCCAGCCCCACAGGACAGAATGGACATTGGGCTGCCCTGGGTTCAGGTTGCTGGGTGCCTACATGGACCTGCCAGAGGTCACTGGCCTGAGCTGGGCCAATGACACTCAGCCACTGTGCTTCTCTGCTCCCCAAAACACCTCGCAGTGTCTGAGTGTACCTGATTTCTGAGCCTGTTTGTGTTGGTTAATCAGCTTTAACCCTTTCAGGCAGACCCGGGAAGAGGAAACCTCTGTCAACCTGTTCTACTTTTCGGATTTTGAACGTCACAATGCGGAGATTGCTGCCTTTCACTTGGATCGGTGAGTGACCCAAGACCTGCTCCACAACTCTGAGCAACCAGCTGCTCACCCCATTGTCCTCCTGGACCAAATGGCCAGTGGAGGTGGTCAGTCCGTGGGAAGGAGGGGCTCGGTCCATGATATGGGTCAGGTTTTGGGGAGGAGGGGGCCGGTCTATGGGAAGGAGTGGTGTCTATGGGGAGGGGTTCGGTTTGTGGGAAGGAGGAGTCGGACCATGGGGAGAGGTTTGTCTGTTGGGAGGACTGGGGCCTATGGGGAGGGGCTTTGTCATGGCGGGGAGCTCGGTCCATGGGGCAGGGATGAGTCTGTGGGATGGGTGTCTGTCTTTGGGGAGGGGTTTAGTTTGTAGGGAGGGGATCAGTCTGTGAAGGGGAGAGGTCAGTCTGGTTAATCTGTGGAGGGGTCATGGATTTGGGACTTGAGAGGTTGTGGGAATGCTGTGGGTAATAATTGTTCCTCAGTCTGTGAGATGTATCGAGATGGTCTCCAAGTGGTCAGTGTCTCAGTTTCTGAGTGGGAAGGGGATCTAAATAAAGGGCACTTTCAAAAGGAATAGTGAAGACTGTGGATATATATATATATATAATGTGCAAGTTGTTGAAGGGAGCAGGACAAGTTGAGAAGGAGAAAAACATACAACAGCCCGAGTTTCTGAAGGAGTAACAATGAACGTTAAGAACCTGGAGGCTGAGGAAACCTTTAGGCCTTGGTTGGACGCGGTACTGAGTTCTGGGCACTATGGCCTGGGCAGGATTGAGGCTGAATTCTCTGGCATGAGGGGGTTGAGCGATTGGACTCGGACAGAGATGGTGAAAGTTTTGCGGCATTATGTTTGACTGAATAGTTCAAAATTACACCACTTTAACGGAGAAAATGAGGAACAACTGCACAACCAGAAGGTCAGTAACCACGGTAACTGTATTAGTAGGAGTTGGGGGGATTGAGGTTGGATCAGTGATAATATAAGAATAATGAGATCAGTGAGCTTTCCCTTTATGCCAGTAAAAACTGATCTGAATACGTTGCTATTTTAATTCATGCAGTAAATATGGGGAAGGGGAGTGGGCTACAGGTTGTTGTACCTGTCTGCCTGCCTCTCCTTTACAGATAGACTGAGCCTGAGCGATCGGGGACAGGTATACATGGTGATTCACAAGCATGCTTCAAGCTCTGTGTGCATGGTGGACAATATTAGGGCTGGAGTGCATCATTACCCTGTTGACCAATAAACTCATTTCAATTTAATAAGTTTCCTTTGGAATTTTAGGGGGTGTATGTCGGAGTGCATGTGTGTGTGTGTGTGTGCGCGCGAGTGCGTGAGTGTGCGTGTGTGTGTGTGCACGCGTGTGTATGTGTGTGTGTGTGTGTG